TTATCCATAGTTCATTACTGATTTCGTTTTATATCATGATATATTATTGGTATCATTTTCGAAGACAAATCATTCCCTACAGTATCAAAAAATCCCTGCCTGGCACTGTAAAATATAAGCTTGCAACGGCCAAAAGTTTGCACATTGCACTGGAAGGAACAAGACACCTTCACTGCCTTGGCTCGTTTGCATGTTGTTATATTTTATGCATCTTTGGTATCATTATGTAACTTTTTTCTGTCATGAAAAGAAAAATAAGGAAGATTTTTTAAGGAGAAAAAAAGAAAAAAAGAAAACGATTACAAAAAAATAAGTTAAACTGAGTGCATGATCTCATGCATGGCAACTAAACATGACAGATATATAAATGAGAAACAGTAAAAGTAATTATTAAAAGAAAAAAATGGAAAACAAAATAATAGAAAAAATAAAGATAAAAAGGAAAAGAAAGTAGAAAAAAAGAAAACAACAATAATGGAAGAAATAGTAAGTATTTATGGCCTCTTAGGATGAAATAGCACGCCGCCACAGTAACAGAGAAAACGTATAACTGTAAATCTTTTCTTGTTACAGTATGAATAGGAGAATATTCCACCTCGAAACGTCATTATCAGATTTTTATTTTATTATTACTGGATTGAAAAAATAAACTATTTCCATCATTCCGTTTCTTCCTTATTAACATCTTTATAAAGGTAATGCTTACTGCCTTTATGCTTGTGCAAGTGTTGTCTTGTGCCTATGTTCCTCACTCCCTTGACCTTTGACCTCGCTCGTCCCTCAGGCCTCCCGGACCTCTCGAACTTCCCGCACGACCTCCAGGAGCGTCAGGATTCACCCACGACCTCGCTCCCCCCCGGCCGTCCCCCACTCCCCCCCACCCCTGCCTCGCTCTCCCCCTCCGCAGAGGTACGTTTCCTCGGGTTTTAAAAGAAAGGTTCGTATAGCTGTTAGAAATATGAATAATTGATGATTAGTTGATGCTTCTATGGTAACATGGAATCTGAAAGATTTGTTCTATATAGTTGTTATGAAAAAATAATATGAAAATAAAAGGGACCTAGATATAAAATGGAAAGGAAATAATGTACGTGCGACCACAAAAAATAATGATAATAAGAATTCAACAATAACAGTAATGCTGCTGATGGTAATGATAATAATGTCTATAGCAAGGATGATAAAGATGAAGGATGAAACAGGTTGTTTAGTATATAATAAAACATTCATAGATTTTTAAAAAGATGACACAAGGTAAATAGATCAATAGACTAACAAATGAGGAGACACAAAGAAGTGAAATGATAGATATGCACATCTAGACAGACAAAAGGAAGACAGTAAAAATACAAACATCAACCGAAGAAGAAGAAGAAGAAAAACAAAAATAAAAATCCCTATATGAATAGCCATAACCCCCCCTCTCCCCTCTCCCCCCTCCTACCAGGTCCCCACTGGCATCCCGCCCCCGCCCGCCCTCCACGCTGCCCCCTCTTCCCCCTCTGCCCCAGCTGGACGGGGGGTACCTCGCCGACGACTCCACGGCGCACGACTACTCGGAGATCGAACCCGCGGAGCCGCAAGGTAAGGGGCTTGGGGGCGGATTTAGGATTTATGTGGAGGATTTTTGGATTTATAAAGCGGATTTTTTTGGATTTATGTATAGGATTTTGGGATTTATTTGGCGGGTTTTTAGGATTTATGTGGAGGATTTTTGGATTTATTTGGCGGATTTTAGGATTTATGTGGAGGATTTTAGGATGTTTTTAGCGGGTTTTTAGGATTTATGTGGAGGATTCTTAGGATTTATGTGGAGGATTTTGGGATTAATTTAGCGGATTCTTAGGATTTTTAGGATATTTTTCGGATGTGTTCTGGGACTTTGGGATCTATTTAGGATTTGTTCTGGGGATTCGTGATTTATTTAAGATCGGTTCTGGGGATTTAGGATTTATTTACGGATTTTTAGGATTTATGTGGAGGATTTTAGTATTTTTTTAGGATTTGTTCTGGGACTTTGGCATCTATTTAGGATTTGTTCTAGGGTTTTGGGATTTAATTAGGATCTGTTCTGAGGATTTGTGATTTATTTAGGATCTGTTCTGGGGATTAAGGGTTTATTTAAGATCAGTTCTGGAGATTTACGATTTATTTAAGATTGGCTCTGGGGATTTGGGAATTATTTAGGCGTGATTTCATGTGCTAAGTTAAGGATTTATGGTTTGTTTTAAGGATTTACTAATTATGTCGTGAGTTTAGGATTTATTTTGAGGATCCTTGGGCGCATTTTGAGGATTTTTATTTTTATTTATTTTGAGCATTTAGTATTTATTTTCAGAGCCTGGGATTTGTTTCAAGAATTTCAGATTCATTTTTGGAGATTTAAGTGTTACATAAGGGATTTAGGAAAGATTTTTGAGGATTTATTAAGTTTTTTTTTTTTTTTTTTTGGTGGGGGGTATTTTGAAGGTTGACTTTTTTTTTTTTTTTTTTTTTAAAG